AAGTAAGGAGGTATCAACAAAAACTGTACATTAATAAGTAGGATAATTTGTATTTATTGCAGACCACATACAAGATTAGAATATAAACTGGGCAATACAGCAAAAATACATGATACTCTCCATGATAAATGGCATTAAATTACATCATTTGCAATTAGGTTCCGTAACTCACTACTGCACCACACACAGCACAGGAATAATGTAGTTTTGTGAATTGAGTGAGTTTGTCCAGAGGTCAAACAACAGTCCTCCTCACCTCTTCAGTCGTTTATAAGGTGTTCCTCTCATCCCCACATCAAATCTGCATACACTTTCTTATCATTGCACCAAATACATTAACCTCTAATGGAAGTTCTCCAAAACATATAAATCTCTCACATCATGGCCCATGGAAATAACAGATGAGACCAACATTAGGTGAAAAGCAATGTCATTTTTGCAGGCTGGAACTGCTGAAAGCAGAGGTCAGTAGAGGAGATTTCACTCATCTGAACCCGAGATGAGTGATAAAACTGTCAGTGGCAGAGCAAAGAGATATGACTGTTGTCGTCTGAAATCGTTCTCATAACCTTCAGCTAAAGACAGTGGAGAGCAAAGAGGAGGAGAGAAAGAGAGTGGCACCTCTGCCTCTTCTCATTGAAATGAGAGACATTAAGAGGCTTCTGTTAGGAATGTTAATCGCGTATCGATCTGTGTAAACTTTGGCCAACACTATCCCTGGATTCCTACGTGTGGCCAATGAATGTCATTCTTCCAGACTGCAGGAGAAACAGTGGCCGCATTCTGTCGTTAATAGGGTGCGCGTGTTCTATAGGGCCCCTATTTCCTCTTTATTGACTGGTCATATTGCTTCTATCTCATTTTAATGCACCATATAGGACCCACATTTCCCTGTTTGGATCAGAGATAAAACACTTCATTTTATTGACCGTATGGGACCCATAGGTCATTCCATTACAAATATGATCTTTGTATTATACTATGGATGGTAGTGGACTGCACTTTATAGCACCTTTCTAGTCTTATGACCACTCAAAGCACTTTACACTACATGTGACACACACAAATTCATACACTGATGACAGGGCAAGGTGCAGACTGCTCATCAGAAACAGAAACTAATCCCATTCACACACATTCATTAGCTAATTATTAATTAATGGCAAAGCATTAGGAGCAATTTGGGGTTCAGTATCTTGCATAATGACACTTAGGCATGCAGAGGGAGGAGCCAGGATCGAACCACCAACCTTCTGATCAGTGGATGACTTATCTGGGTTCCACCTGTATATACCACAGCTGCCCATACTATATAGACCACACTCAGGACTGATTTCCTGTATAGGTAAACACTTGTTTTTTTCTTTATAGAGCAGATATTTCCTGTTTTATCGAACAAATACAGGGCCACTGATTCACACAGACACGTCAGGAATCCAGTTAGAGAATGATTTAATGTTGGGACCATATACTGTTGCAGGGCTTCCCTCAGGTGGTGTGACATCATTCCACTTCCTAAATAAGATGCCAATGCATATTTGCAGTTTTACCACACAACAAAGGTTGGGGAAGCAATTCTATTTTAAATGTCTTTGCTTTTTTGCCTTTATTGGACAGGACAGCTGAAGATAGACAGAAAAAGGGGAGAGAGGATTGCACACAGGGCCACAGGTTAGACTCGAACTCGCTGCAGCAAGGACTCAGCCCCAGCACATGGGGCACCACCAGGTGAGCTACCAGGGTGCCCTGTAGGTTAAATGACTACTTGGTTAAGGTTGGGGGTTACAATAATAAACACGTGCTTAAGGTTATGGAAAGTTCTATGTTTTGTTGACCCATCCATCCAACTGATGCTTCCATTTGGGAGAGCAGTCTCCAAAACAAAGAGCATTTTTGGTCTCTGATGATGTCATCAGGATTACCTTCTCAGACTTTAGAAAGCTCAAAAGTAGTGAGTCACTCTTTATGAGAGGTAAAAAGATGATCATGTGTAAAGCCAGTCTGTCCTTTTTAATGATTAACTATCACAGTAAATCAGAGACTTAGATAAAGCTTCCTCCTGAAACTTACTCCACTCTCACTCTGCTTACAGCCACAGAAACAGAAAGACTGTTTCTTGTCAGGTTATTTGTATTTAAGCTGTAAATTAATTGAATTGGCCAACAGAGTACAAGATTACATCTAAGGCTTTAACAATAATTATATTCATTAGCAATTGGTCTATGAATTGTCAGAAAACAGTAAAAAAAAAAAACCAAAAAAAAAAAACCCATTAACATTGCTTGATGAGGTCCAGAAGATAGTAAAGATATTCAATTTACTATCATGTAAAATAGAGAAAAGCATCAAATCCTCACATGTAGGAGGCTGGAAGCAGAGAATGTTTGGCATT